AATAAGCTACCTTACTGTCTACATTGTTACACTCTACAGTGATACCAGCTTGTAGTGCTTGGTAAGGATCTGATATTTCACTGCTTTACAATTAAATTTAAAAAGGTGGTAAGTAGGTAACAACTTTAAAAGAATTGCTTAAAATCACAGAGACCTAATATTTGGGTTAACTATTGGACATAACTAAAATCTAACACTTTGGTCAGGGCTCCTCCTTTTTAAAAACTAAAGGGAACAGTTTTATTTATCTTGAAGGTTTTGGTGCCTCTCTGACCTTTAGATGTGTTCGTTTGCCATTCGTGTTGACTCCTTTGTGATGCACCTGTTCAGAGCATTTTCAGTGCAACAGAAAGGCAAACTTACTCATCGTATGCTTTGCCATTTAATTAATCTGAAATTCTTCCTTTCAGACAAATCCATCAAAAACCCATACCTCTGCCACGTAAGTACACAAAGTCATGCACAGCAGTATCAGGTAGTGGTAAAGGCTGGATCTTCAAGTCTGGGCCGTCCGGGTTCCACTGCAACACTGCCACTTCCAGCTGCAGGAGCTTAGACTCCTCTCCAGCATGTTTCCCCTACTGTAAAATGGGGCCAAGAGTTAAAACAAATAGTAAATAGACTGGAGATCATTTTTACTTTTTTTAGTATTGGTTGAATATTTTACTGATTATGTTTGTCAGCTTTTATTTATTTGTCTCTTTGTTTTTATAAAACAATAAACTTTTCAAAATAAGATAAAGTATAACAACATATGGGAAGTATCTAGTGTAGTGCTTGGCACATAGAAGGTCTTCATTAATGATAGATATTTAAATTAAATCTAAAATACATTTTAGGGATTACAAAATAGATCTACAAAAGATCCCTGAAAATATTTGGCAAATATTTGTATCATTTTCTCAAGGCAAAACAAGACATTACTCTAAAGATATGTGAAGTCAGGCTTGCAGATAGTAACTGCCCAAATCTTGTAGGAAAAAAATGAAAACACAAAACAACCTTACCTTACCTGGCTAATTTGTGAAATATTCCAAAATAATCAAGATTTGATAAATTTAAATAAAGAAAATAATTCTTTTTTTAGTCATGTGCCTTTATACTAAATATAAACCAGTTTATTAGGTTTTAGTTATAATTTTTATTCATCTTAAATCAATGAAACATAAATAAAATTTTTCTTCAGATTCTGAACAAAGTGAAAATGGTTTAGCTATAGAAATTCTTTCACTATGGAAAACTTTAGCAAACCTTTTCATTGTTTTTCAACTCAAGTCATTCTTTCAATTGACAAATAATTCTTGAACATCTGCTACGTGCCAGGAACTGTTCTGATGCAGGGGATACAGCAGTGAATAAATGAGAGGCCCGGTCCTTAAGGAGCTTCTATTCTACTGGAGGAGACAGATAAGAAAATTAAGCAACCAGATAAATCATATAGTATCAGGTGAATGCTGAAATGCTATGAAAAAAAAAAGCCAAAGTAAGGTGGCAGGAAAGGGGTTGCAAAAAGCGATGGAGGCATTGAGGGTTGCTGTTTCAGATGGGGTGAACAGGGAAGGCCTCACCTGTAAAACAGGGTCTAATAGCTCCTCCCACAAAGGGCTGAGGTGAGTACAAGATAAGCTAAGATGTGCAAAACAGAATGGAACTGGCACATATTGAGGGATCAGAAAAATGTTAGCCTCGAATTCACCAAATGCCCAGACT